ACAAAACTGAATGAGACATCAAACACCTTTAAAAATGTCATATTTCCTAAACGTTTAACATCAATAACTGAATTTACATTTGTGAAAATATAGTTTAACTCCATATCATACAGAGAAGGCCCACAAAACAGGTCTGGCATTTAAATACAGCATTTTATACATTCATAATACATACTTTATACAGTCATAAAAGTGGGAGGCTTAAAGTGGAAATATACTATAATGTTAATTTCAAAAAATTATCAAATTCCATCAATGGATTGACTCAAGTCAAAGATTTATTGAACCGTTGTCCAGCCTGTCGTGCTCTATGGCACCAAATGCAGGCCAACTACAAAGGTTGTCGACCACCGACTTGCTACTATGGAGACCAGGACGTTACGTTGGATGAGTGGCATTACCAGACTCAACCGAGTATCCAATGTTGACATCAGAGCCTGGTATGGAGTTGCTGAGATCAGCGAAAAAGCACATGAGTGTCACCTGTGCCTCTATGGCCATGCGCTCCGTGCTGACACTGACTCCATCATCCACATGGCCTACATTTGGAGGTATCTGGGTTTCACCCGAAAGGCTGCCCAAGGCAGCATTGGCTGGACATGCTACACCACGACCTACAGGCCATGGGCCTACATCCAGACCAGGCCCATGATTGGGCCAAATGGCAATTCAAAATAAAATATAGGTGTGCCAACCCCGCTGCCAAGTGGAACTAAGGCCAAAGAGAAGAATAATGAAATTTCATCAATTATATAAAATTACAGCTTCATTTGTAGTCTAAGTAACATAAATGATATCTATTTAAAAAACATTTATATATTATCATTATTAGTATTGAGCACATACATTTTACATGTTTTAAACTTGAAGATCTAAAAGTTAAACATTTGAAAATTTTAAATTTCATTCTTTCTGACTAGTTTAAAATTACTTTATATATGACAAACAGGTAATTTTTCATCAGTAATTTAAAATATAATCATCAGATTTGATATTATGAAAGTAGCAGATGATTGGATTCATAAATAAATGCTTTCAACAATGAAATTAAAAGATAGTAAAAATTATTTATTTGCAATGATAATTCAAATCATCCATTAACATGTGTTACACTGAAATATTGAAATATTTGTTATAATCCTAGATATTGTACTATGTTCTTATGCAATGATTGTCAACATTATGTAATCAATTGACAAATCAAGTCACAGAAAGATCTTACTTTAAGTTCTACCTACTATCTTTTCCTGTAAAAAATGACCATAGGGGCATGTCAAAAAAACTGTCTATTTGGTATCCTAACATTATAGGTTAGTGATATATAAAAATATTCTTTTCTCTGGCTAAACACCTAGAAGTGCATTTTAGAAAAATGACTAGATCAGCCATGGACCACAGTACTTGTTTGAGACCACAAGTGTCCATTGACCATACTTTGAGAAGCATTGCTTTAATTAATTAATTAATGTTTGTCAGTGTTTTATAATTTGTCAACAGTTTAGAATTACAGTGGTACCTCAAGATACGAAATTAATCCGTTCCGAAACTCAGATCGTATCATGAAAATGTCGTAAGGTGGATCATCTTTTCCCATACGATTACATGTAAAACCAAATAATTCGTTCCAACGCGAAAAACATACTCAAATTAAAGCCAAGTAATACATTTAAAAAAATAACTGTAGTAAGAAAAACAAATGAAAAATGCGAACTAATGTAACGTCGTATGGTGAGTTTTTGTTCGTATCGTGGAGCAAAAATATGTTCGAATTTCATGTCGTATCCTGAAAATTTCGTATGCTGGGGCGTTCGTAACCTGAGGTACCACTGTATGTCAAATTTTGATATTTGAATTTTAACTTTTGAATTATCATTTTGAATGTAATGCACATAAATAGCATACTGTTTTCATCATATAAGTGTTATTTGTAATTTAAAATATTATATTACAGTTTCCAATTTCAAAATCAACTAAAACTTACCAGTTTAAGTAAAATGTCATCATAATGAATAAAAAACAAATTTGGTAAAAAATTTAAAATATTTGGATTTAAATACTTGTCAAAATTGTCTTATAATTCTTATTTTATTATTATGCTTTAAATAATTAGTTTTTACTAATAACATACTGATTTATATCTTAATCATTTTTATAGGATTTCAATTATAACTTTAATTGAAATCATTATATAGAGTTAAAATTAAATATTCAATTATATAGAGTTAAATTTGAGTTAATTCAAATATAACTCCCCTTACAGGATAACAGTGGATCATAGAATAAATTGGATGCAACTTATAGAACTTTGGGCACTAGAATCAGAGAACATTCATTAGGAAGTACATATGTACTGTACAACTGCTTTGGCAACCTTTGCTTGTGACAGTAATGTAGATGTTTTTCAATGGATCACACCTACTAATCAAGTTTCAGTGATGAAATGACTTAAATATTTGGAAAGTCTCAAAATTTATAAGGACAGTAAGAAAGGGACCAAATTCACTTTAAAATTGCTGAAATGATGTCACATGATTGGAGAGTATTATTTGAAGTTTTATATACAAATATAAACATCTTACACCTGATAGTTATATATTAAAGCCAAATGATTACCAGATTATCACAGACTATATTACTACTACTATTATTAGTAGTAGTAATATAGCCCAATATAATCCAGCAATCATCTGGCTTTGATTACAGTTGAGTCTTATTTTACATGAGACTTGATATATACAGATTTGCATTTTCACAGATAGTAATGAGTTAGGTTACTCTCACTCCTAGTGCCACTGAATCTTAAATTATTAAACTGTGGTTTCTAATTTCTGGAGATTGTGGCAAGCAGTGAACAAAGACTTGTTGACTTGTTGCTCATTCAGAAATGTTATCATAATAATTACAGATTATTACCAGCTTAGAAAAATTCAGTAGACTATTAAATAACTCCTCTAAAATCTTTAAACTATACCAGCAAAAATAATTTAATTTAAATACATTATGACAAATGTTTTCGACTCCCTTAGGATCTGCGTCAGGTTGTTATAATTAGAATGCTAAATGTTTGAATTTAAATATTTCCAAATTGTAGGAACTGTAAATATTAGAACATGTATATGTCAAAATTTATGGTTCCTACAATTTGAAAATATTTAAATTCAAACATTTAGCATTCTAATTATAGCAACCTGATGCAGATCCTAAGGGGATCAAAAACGCTTGTTGTAACATATTTAAATTAAATTATTTTTGCTGGTATAGTTTAAAGATTTTAGTGGAGTTATTTAATAATTACAGATGTTTGATATCATTCTGTCTTGTTAAGAAAACAATACATTTATTTGCAAGAAACAGGAACATTAATCTCAGTTCTAAAATCACAGCTGATAATTACAATAATGGTTGATGTATAAAGGCAATAAATAGAACATGTATATTAAACTTTTATAATTTATAAGAAAAGCTGAATTCCTCTTTAAAATTATACATGATTGTTATAAATCTCATAGTTTTCAAAATAATATAATAATTACAACAACAATAAATACAGACATTCTGTATTTAAATATACAATAATATAAATCACTATTTTAAATTCATTAAAAATACAGTAGTTAGGAATGAAAACTGATATTTAAAGGTCAAAATACTGTATGTCATTTAATATTCAGTATATTTTTACAATTTATCTTTAGAAATCATATACAATAAAATGTTCTTCCATGAATTATATTTTGCATGTAAATATCTATAAAAAATAAATAATCTATACATCTATACAAAAATCTATACATCAGCAATTTTTATAACAAGTGCAAACATTTTTCACTTCATCATCAGGCAAACAAATGTCGAGACAAATGGGAGACTGCCGAACATGTATGCAAGGGAGATGACATACAATGTAAGACAAGAGAATGGAGAGGAGGAGGATAGTGAGATTTATATTTTGTAAAAAGACTTCCCCACTGCGGGGAAGGAGTCAATATCATGAAAGTTTATAGCTGTGTTATTGCGGGATGGCCTTATATATCTCCACCTACTCCAGATGTGCCTCAAAGAGAATCAGCTGTCAATCACGAAGGGATTGACAAACACAGCATTGGCCATCTATGCCTCCAACCCAGACATGGAAGTCAAATTCTGCAAAGCACGCATCTTACACAACTCTTCCAGGCAACCCTTCCTAAAGCATCTGGATCAGGTGGAAATATATAAGGCCATCTGCAATAACACAACTATAAACTTTCTTGACGTTGACTCCTTTTCCACAGTGTGGAAGTCTTTCTACAAAATATAAATCTCATTATTCCCCCCTCCCCTTTTTCTTGTCTTATGCCATTGGTCATCTCCCCCCCAGCACGTGTTCAACAATCCCCCATCTGTCTCAGCATTTGTTTGCATGATGATGCCTGTTCAACAAGGGCAAAAACATTCTTACTTGTTATAAAAATTACCGACATATAGGTTTGTTTTTAACACTAATTTAACATGTTGTAAGGTAGCAGTTATTGTTGTAAATATCTATTAATAAAGTAAAAGAAATTCCAATAATACATTGAAAATGGATAGATTTGTAATAAATTTTCTTTTGAATTTTTAAAATGTATATATGTTAATCATAAATTCAAATGTATTCATCTTCATAACAAGACAAAAAAATGTCTTATTGATTGTTAGCTTAAGGATAAACATGGCTGAAACTGCAAATTTTGTTTCCAGGTAAAATGTCTCAAAAAACATTAAGAAATGTTCATATTTTATGTAATTATAGATATAAATTTGTTTCTCTCTCTATAACTAGTAATATGAGTACATAAAAAATGGCAGAAGTTACTTCTGTTTATACATAAGATTTTTTGAATGTTTTATGTACAGTACAAACAAGTTATCTGAAAGTAACTCCTGCTTAATTCTTGTATAAAATTAATCCTTTAAATAAGGTGTCATTGTAAAGCTTATTAAATTCCTTATAATACGTAAACTTATAGGATAATTACCTGTTCTAGATGGATATCTGTATGCATTAGTGGCATTCATATCCACTTCTTCCATCCCAACATTTTGACGTGTAAACAAAGTGCCCATAATAACTGAAGTGCAATTCTAAATTAACTTATAATTAATAAATAAGTAGTGTTAAAAAATAATTTACGACCACGATCATTCTGTAGACGGACCGATTCTACATAAACCTATGTAATGGTCTAAGAATAAAGGAGAAAACATCGTAAACTACTATGGCGATAGACAATCATCTGTAACATTAGCTGCACTACTGCCTTTTGAGCGCTACCTAGTGGTTGATTTAGAAATTATACTCTCAAATTTATATTGCCGGAAGTTAATCATTTTTAAATATGTTTCCGTCATTTCCGCTTATTAGAAATCAAATATATAATTAAATCAATTAAATTATATTTATAAGTAAAAAATAATAATAAATTTTAGTAGCCAATTTATAGTGATTAAGATTAAGAAGTGATAATATATGTTGTATGCATAATAATTTGTAGCGCTTGTATTCAAGAACTATTGTTTTTTTTCCATTTTTGACGTTTTCCGCCCTGTGGGTACTATGAAAGTTTTTTAAATTATAAATGTGGGGAGTTCGGTTAGGCCTAAAAGTGGCTCGCCCGGATTTGATTCCCTTAGAACGGGATAAGGTGACCTCGCTTCGGCTGTGGCGTCGGAATACTGCAGCAAAAAAGATGTTTAGTAAGCGAGTAATTAATTTTAATGAAGTAAAATTTTTCAATAATTGATGTAAGGCTTGCTTTCCAATCTATAAATGGCCGACGATCGAGAGATTAAGGTCGTATAGGTTTGCATCCTATCGCTCCGGGTGGTCCGGTTTCGAATCCGGACAAGTCTTTTCAGGGAGTGGTCCGTCCGAGATGTCGAGCTCCGTCCATCACTTCCCGCTTGCCCCACTATGAGTCTGGTATAATAATAAGCTTGCTTAAAAACCTCTTAGACCTCGTACACACTAGGCGTTTTTCAACGCGCGTTTTGCGAGCGCTTTTAAACGCGCGTTTTGCGAGCGCTTATAAGAACCAAGAGTTCTATGTAGCCGTACACACTCAAAAGCCAAGCGCGCGTTAAACGCGCGTTTTGCGAGCGCTTATAGATTTTTGTTAAAACGCGCGTTTTGCGAGCGCTTTACGGGCGCTTTGAGATATATGTGCTGCCATGTTACCGTACATGCGATCGCGCGTTTTGCGGGCGTCAGCCGAGCGCTTTGAGATATATGTGCTGAAATGGAGAACGATCATTTCGATACTGATCTATTTATTGATGAAATCTAAAAGAGACCAACCATCGTCAAAGGATTTTATAGATATTTTAAAAGAATTAAAAAACTTGAATTTATTTTGTCTTAGTTTTGGATACAACGTCGCAAACATTTCATGCGTCAGTCTATCTCGTAATATTGGGTGCACCCAAAATTCTCTTTGCCTCCGCCGTCGTCTTTTATAGCGACGATAGTGGAGCCACACACAAGCAATCACTTCCACATCCATTTCCAAACCGAGCCAGTGCGCACGCTCCGCTAAACGCTCGTCAAACGCCGAGCTAACGCGCGTTAGCTCGGCGTTTTACGAGCGTTTAACGCGCGTTGAAAAACGCCTAGTGTGTACAGGGCCTTAGTGCCACAGGTTAAAAAGATAAAAAAAAAACACTAAGGGGTTAAAGAACTCCAGGATTTTTCACAAGAGGCCTGTCGAAAATATGTTAAGCTCTGTCTCTCACCATCCGGCCGTCCTTATTGTGAGCTTGGCCGAACTTACAACGGATATGAAAAAAGCATTCTTATTGCTTACAGGGCGGGAAGACTAAAAGGAAAAAAACACAAAACTAACGTAAAAACATTTTCAGATTTATTTTATGCAGAATTTTTTAAATTAAAATAAGTAACATAAAAGTAAATATTAATATATTGTCTAAAGAAAAGAAAAACTTTTTTAAAAAGTCCAACTGAGAGTTACTTGTGAAGTAAAATAAAAAGCGTAGGTAATCTGTAAATATTACTCAACGCAATATTTCGATTTTTATTTAGTAACCGATTTTGCGAGATACAATACCACTATTAATATTTAATAGTAGTGCTATATTTCCTATTAACTACTATTAATCGTAGAACACTACTATTTAACACTTATTCTAAAAGGTTTGCAGTATGCATCATTAAACTGGTTTTAATTAACCCTGTTTAAATTACAACGTTAAAATATGGTTCTCAGGTTAGTACTAGTTTATATACTGTTTGAGGTAAAGTTTTAGCTTTCTCACAGGTTGTTGTATAACAACATTATGTAATTTATTAAACAGAATAACAAAAACATTAGAATGACAGATTTATTAAACAGAATAAATGTTATAATACATTGTTTGTGGACTGAAAACACGCTTTAAAATTTAAAATAAAATACTGTACAGTAATTGAAATCAAAACTTTCAGTCATTTAAATTAATACAGTATTTCATAATAATTGAGAGTAATGTAACAGTACAAATTGTATATTCTAGTGAATAATTATGTTGCCTAATAATCATTTTATTCTAAAATAAATAATAAATAAAGTTGAATTTGATATTTCTATTTGTTGGTATTGTCTGCTGTTTAATAAATTTTTATAAATATACTTATTTAATTCTCTATAAAAATAATTATATTTAGTCTATATGCATAACTTCCCTCATTTAATCTTCAGGAATTTTTCGGAGGTGGTCAGTCCGGATATGTCGGGCCCCGTCCCTCACCATCCGGCCGTCCCATTGTGGACCTGGTCGAATCCATAATGGGCTTGCTAAAAGAGGCCCTCTTAGTGCCCACAGGGCGAAAAAAGTTAAAAAGAAAAAAACTTTCCTCATGTAGAAAACTTCTTATCTCTCGCAAACACTTTTGATATATAGAGTTTGTGAGAATGGTTTTCTTTTCTCTTGATCTAATCTTAATTTATAAAAATGTTTACTCTGAGCTCCTGTTTTCAGTTTGTGAAATGCATGTAAATATAAAAATTAAATATATTTTTATTTTAACAAGTATCTGCAAATTTCTTCCTAATTTTGTATTTCAAAACTAAATAAATTTATTCTTGTACTGTATCATACGAACCATTGACATAGCTTTTTATTTTGAAACCTATTCAGTTAAAGCGTTTAATTAATTATACGTAGGCGGGTTTTTTCAACCTCCGATGGTTCCTAAAACAAAGACAGTGTAAATAACAAAATGAATTTATTACCATAAGTTAGGTACATACAAGGTTAGTTTTCGACATAATTACCGTGAAGATTGAGGATTACCATTTATCATATTTGTGGACGAGCTTCTCCACTTTCTTGTCATAGAATGTTGCCGCCAGTGTATTGAGTTGGCCTTAATAACGTTGTTTTGAAGATCGTCATTAGTCTCAAACCTCTGCCCTGCTAGCCACGTTTCCAGTTCAGGAAAGAGGTGGAAGTCTTTACACATTAAAAAGTTTTAAGCTAAATGGAAGTCTGAATGGTGGAAGTCTTCACCGCCTTTAAACACCCAGCGTATAGTCCCGATTTAGCACCGAGCGACTTCCACCTCTTTCCTGAACAGGAACAGTGGCTAGAAGGGCAGAGATTCGAGACTAATGACGATCTTCAAAATAACGTTAGGGCCCATCTCAATACATTGGTGGCAACATTCTATGACAAGGGGATGGAAAAGCTCGTCCATAGATGTGACACGTGAAGATTGAGGCATTTGTAATGGCTCAATCTTCACGGTGATTGTGTCGAAAAGTAACCATGTTTGTACCTAACTTTTGGTAATAAACTCATTTTATTATTTACACTTGTCTTTGTTTTATGGACCATCGTAGGTTGAAAAATCCGCCTCGTATGTCAGAGTAACCTCTAAATGAAAAGATACTCTATTTCAAATTATAAAAGGAATTCGAATTACGTGGATCGAACTCGAAGGAACGTGCAATAAATTGTACATACATAGCATGAAATCTATACCGTGACCTTAGAACTAAGGACCCAATATGGCGGCTCCATAAGGAACATTGGTGTCCTAAACTTATGTTTACAGACCTTGATAGACTATATTGGCGAGAGTTGCATTAACACGTGTGTATTTCCAAAGGAGGTATTGTATCGTTTTTAGTTATTTCAGTTTTATTTTTTTTGAGTTTTTTAACACATGGTTGTCGATTTGGCTTTAGATCGTATGTTTTTAAAGAGACGAGGCTGAACTAGTCGGTTTTTACAAACAGGCACGTGAATTTAGAATCGGTGGATTTCTAGCAAGTGAGATGTAAAAATGTCAGGCAAAGAATTGTTATAACAGCAAAATCTGTACATTTTTACATCATTTGCAGACTATAAGTGATGTAAAAATGTACAACAGCAAGATAGAGAAACAAGATATTTGGCAAGAAAAGTAGAGAAATCGGCAATAAAGTTGTTACGCTTACATTAAATTCGTAACCGTAATAAAATTTTTGATAACTTATGTAAATATTGCTAATAAACTGAATATTGAAGTATATAAAGTTCATTGGTTTTGTTGATTTACTGTAAGATGCTTGTAAAAGGCCAACCTGGCCACAGTGTCTTTTGAGAAATAAAATAAAAAAATATGCTATATTTATTTAACTTTAATTGATGACATGAACTGTTTTATTTTTAAAAAGTCATTTCTAACTTTTGCTTCCTTATCTATTTCTATCAGTTAAAGATATTATTCTCTTTAAAGATTATTTTCTCTCTTTCAGTTTCTACGCCATCAATATAGATTCCAACAATGGAAAACGATGACTCACTTATGGAATTTTGATGTTATAGAATATGCCAATGGAGTGATAAACTTTTTGTAATGTTTTTAATGCATTGCAAAATAATAATAGTTGTGTAGAATGTTTTTGTTATTGTACAAATTCAACTTAAGTTATAGTGAATATTTAAATATCTTTACAAGAAACTTGAAAATTAAAAAAGACTATAGAATTTTTTTAAAAACTTATAAATTAATTTATGAAAGCTTTGAGTTACATTGTAAACTGTTTTAAATGAAAATTTTATTTTTATCGATTAATTAATAATACTTTAATAATAATAATTAATATCAATTAATTTAAGTTACTTTAGTAAGAATTTAAGATATTTTAATCGAATTTACCGATAAAATATATTTTGCAAAAGATTCTCAATTTTTATTTAGAAAATCATTAATCAACTTTTTTTAATACTAGAAAATTAAAACACAATATTATCTGGGAAAGATAAAATAGGTGCATTTTTAAAGTAATGAAGACTTTAAAAGATAGATAAATAATTTTAACGCTTTTAAATAATTTATTATTTAAAAAATAAAAATTAATCGGGCAATTTTAGATCATATTAAATATAATTTTTTGTCATTTATTCGGAAGCGTAGCCCTGCAGTTTTGAAAAAGAGATTCAATAGTTCCCTTTTTTGAATTTAATTATATTCAGAAAGGTCTTAATTTATATTTAGAAGTCGAGTTACATATCAGTTTTATATGAGTTTTGTATATATTCGACCCACTTTTAGTCTGAATCCTAACCGCAGCAGCGCAAAAATAGCTCTAGGCAGAAAATTCTGTTCTGTCCCTAACCAGTTTATCTAATAACCATGCGTACTATGATCAACGAAGACCTCTTTCACACTGTCAGAAGTGCATTAACAGATATAAAGTCAAAGGAATTTTTATGCCATCCAATAGAGACATTATTTAAATTGCTTATGTTTTTATAATCCATTATTTCATTATTAAAATCTTTGTGTAATTGACAACAGATAAACGTGTACTTTATGATAACCAATGAAGTTTTGAATGATGAATCAATTCATATGATAGTTGGTTATTAATAGTAGTGTTGCGAGTGACATCGACAGCAGAGCAATACGTTTAGGATACTCTGCTCTGTGTTATCTTTTATGATAGGACTTCAAACAGACATTTCCCAGAAAAATAATGCTGGGCTGTCCACAGCTAGGGTTTCCCGTGGATGTCTCCATTAAGTTATCTGCTCGGTCTCCAGATCGTAGCATTTATGAGACCAGACAGGATAACAGCTTCGGGCATTTTTTCCGCGGAACACTTAAAATACATCAGCTTTAGTGCAGGGGTGGCGAACCTTTTTGAAATTAAGAGCGCACTCGGTCTAGTATATGACGTCATTGGCATTTGCTGATTACATTTCCATACAAAAATGATTTTACATTGTATTGATTTTTCTTTTGCAAGAAGTTTTAATTGTATATTTGATTTTATCAGGGAACACTTGAAGTGGCTTCACGGAACACTCGTGTTCCGTTGCCACGTATTGAGAACCACGGCATTAGAGGACTTGATTTGCATTGGGATTTGGCAATGTAGCAAGAAATGAGACAAAATATCTATCTGATACAGACAATTTATGGAAACTTCTTGACTTAATCTAATCAGGATTTTATTAACTTAGTTCCCAGAGCGGCAGGAAAACTAGTTATTCATCATTCTTCATTAGTTTGATATTTTCACATAAAATAAAATGTATTTTAATAATTAAAAATTATTTAATTTTAGTATAAATTTTAAAATCATTAAGTAATATTATTAAAAAAAAAAAAAAAACAAACAAAAACCAACTAAATACCGAAAAATAGTTAGATGGCGCTTTTTAGTTTCTTGATTGTTTTGATGTCGGATCCTAGCAACCATCTGAGTCTTATTGCAGTGATAATTTCCATAAAACTAATTTCGATCATTTTATTCCGTCTTGAAATGTAAGATTACATCGTAAGTATTGAAATTAATCTTCGAATATATTCTAATATATTTAATTTATATAATAAACAGTTTTAATGACGATTTTTGATGATTTATTTGAAGTCGCTTCATCACCTGTTTGAACTTAAAATCTTGTTGTTTGTCTCCATTTAAATAAAATTAAATCAGAAATAAATGATCAAATTTACAAAAATCTACTCTTTAACAATAACATTTTAAAAATTTATAATAAAAATAATAATTAATTTCCAAGCCATATATATGTATATATATATATAATTAATTAAAGTGAAAAAATATGGAGAATAATTTTATATTATTACATAAAAAATTATCATTTTTTACTGAAAACAAACGTTTATAATGCTCAATTGAATGAATCAGTTTTTTAAAGTTTAATTCAATGTAAAGAAGACAAAACAATAGTTAAACTTGTTGAAAAAATCATACTGCTAAATATGGAAAATTATTGTTTTGTAAGCAAAAAAATCATTAAAATCTATTTAATTATTATATAATTAATCGAGGTAAATACTTTCTTTGTAAGTTACACAAAAACTTTTTTGTAAACATGTTAAACAATATTTATCTTGTTAACATTAGATAATATTTCAATGTTTGTATGTGAAAATGATTGTAATGCATCCTTTATTGTAAATTTATATCAGTTGAGAAAATTCAAAATCAAATCGAAACTCTTATTAAATAGTAACATAAGTATACGCTGTAATAATTGATAAATTTTATAAGGCAGCTTCATTCGAGCGAAATTATGTAAAAGTTTGAAATGTTTCGGATCCTACAAATTTATTTTTAGAATGCAATCAAAAACTGGATCTATACATTCAAAAGAAGCAGTCTTTTGTTATCATGGTAATGTTATGTGAAATATTTGTTTACAAAACTTTTTAAAGTTTTGTAAACAAGTAAATACCTTTTGTTGCATTTTAAGTTGCTAAAAATAAAATTTTTAAATAATTGTCATACTTTGCATAATTTATGTATAATAAATAACATTCATCCAACATTTATTTTGTGTTAAAGTTCTTTCTTGAAATAACAGTGTTTTTGTAATGTATTACTATGCTGATAGATTATTTAATGTAGGAAATGTAGTTTGTTTTGATTGCTTATATTTTATCTTAATTTCAAATATTATAAAATACTTGTTATAGAAGAAAAGATCGTTTTCTTATTATAATTTACAGCTGTTTTTATATAAATTCAATTAAAACTTTATCATGTAATATGCAAACTTTTTTAAAGCTATTCTTTCAACTCTTAAATTTATAAAACTTTGATGTTTTATATCCCAAAATCAAAGAAATGCAAAGAAAAAACTTTCCATTATTAAAGTATTATATTTAAAAAAATAGAGTTAAAATATATTTAATTTTATAAGATTTAGTATAGAAGTTGACATTGATAGTTTTATCAACAATAAATTATCAATTTTCATCTCTATTTTATTAACATTCAAGGTGATTTATAATAAATCTTATGTCAATGTAGTTCTTTTTTATTTTGTAATTTATAGTATGATCTTATAATGAGAAGTAAGAATGAGAAAACATATATTTTTGTATATGAATTATAATAGAGACTGGACATACACTTATAGATCAAATGAAAACCCTCTAAGATGTGGATTGTACAGTTAAATGTAATTTATAATTTGCTATATTCAAATAAATTTTAATCTAATTACATTTAAAAATAACATGTATTGTGATTTGAATTTATTATTTTTACTGTTTTCTGTGATGTAATTTATAAGCTCTCTGACATAATTTTATTATTATTTATATCTTTTGATAAATGGCGGTCATTTTTCAAGTAGTTATCTTTCATTTTCATATTAAACATGAAAAAAATAATTTATATTTATAGGGGGTTTTCGAGAAATAACCACTCAATGGCAATAAAACATAATGAGTACATTTTATTTTATACATAATTACCTTGGCTGTTGAGGCATTTATCCCATTATCCTATGAGCCTCATGATTTTGTATTCAAAAAATATGGGTCAGCCACAAAGCCAAGTGCAAATAGCACTCTGATGGAGTGAAATCGTCTGCCTTTCAGAGCTTTCTTCAGCTCACTAAAGACATGGAAGTTGCTTGGCCTTCATTTGGGCTAGGCTTAGTATTTGTTTTGTCCATTTATGTTTGTCATCAATTAATTTCCAGAAGTTCAGCCCCTTCTACGGTTAGGAACTGTATTATGGTACATTGATCTATTTTAGATGTTTGTATTCTACTATAAGATTACAAGCACTACTAATCACTTGCTACTACTAGTGCTGCTGTTTACCTTATCTATACCTCTCAATTCTTGCCATGTTGCATCACTTTATAAATTACATTTGAAGTGTTGTTGCACTCATTGACTGGCTATTTATTGATCATCTCATATATATACAAAAAATTTTTTATATCAAATTTGGTGGTTAAGAAATAATTTAGATATCAACTTGTATTAACATAAAAATTTTCTTTGTAAAGGTTAAGAATATCAGAGAAATAGTACTAATGATTCACATTATAATATTTTCTAATGCTAATTATTTATAGTGATTGAACATTTGTATTTAGAAATTTGAATGATTTTAAATTATGTAAACTACTATTAAAATTAATATATAGTGTGATCACAAAGTCCCCCCGCAGTTGGCCACACCCATGTGGCTTGGCTAAGTAGTTATGTCATAACATTAATTCTTTTAATGCACAGTCTGTTATGGCATTATTACTTCATTACTGGAAGCTCCTCCTGTTTCCCTGCTCGCTGCTGAGGGATTTTATGATTGGACTGTATAAACATAATACTTCCTAAAAGATGTTTTAAATGAATATATATATTTTTCATTTCAGTGTTTTAAACACAATTTTTAAATTTATTTTTATGTAGATTTATTAATATTTCTATACATATAATTACTGCTTGCTAATATAAATTGTGTTGTTGAAATTTATCTAAAAATATTGTGGACTTTTTAATTGAAATAGGATTTTAAAAATTGTGTATCGAATTTTTACATATTTTTATATATTATAATTTTAACCAAATATTAAAATAAAAATTTTCAAAGTGAGGTTTTTAAATTTATTCTATGTGAATAAATACATAAGTTATATCTAGTGACAGATCACTTCTAAATGCATTAATGTTTTCTATTTTCATAGAATTCAAGAATAGAGAATTTCATCAAAATAAAATAGTGAGACTCAGTGCTAGTACTCTTCAGTAAATTTAATTTTTAACTTATTAATTATTCCTAATCACTTAAGATCAGAATTGTGAACTTTTTATTTAAAAAAAATTAATCATTTAAAATTAGTCCAACTGCAATGATAAAACATTTATAAAGAATAAAACAAATATTATCTAAATATATAAAATTAGTTGTCCTGACTGACTGACTGACTGATTCATCATCGCCCAGAGCAAACTGCTGAACCTAAAGAGGTGAAATTTAATACACAGTTAGTGTATATCATGAAAAGCACACTAATAAGGGATTTTTCGAAATTCCTCCCATGGGGAGTGGGAGAGGATTAAGGCTTAACCTGAAGAATGGCTTCTATTGTACTATTTTAGATGCAATTTTTTTGTTTTCAACTACATTTAGTCTTCATTGAGTACTTAGGTGTATTAAATTGATAGCATTTCAGACATTGTTATAAATATTTTTATATATTTCGATTTTTTAACCAAATGTTCAAACTGTTTTAAATTTGAATTTGTTATTGCATATTGGTTCGATTATAGAACGATTGTAAATGTTCCAGAAAACTGATCAAATTGAGAATAGTTCGTTTAATTCTCAGCGTAGGTGTTATATAACAATTACTATGGTCGTTGAAATACTGAATATAAATGGAGTTTGCTTGCAAAATCCATATGTGCGAAGTCACAGGTAACAGCTAGTTATATATACAGTATGTAATATAATATACATATGATAAAACAAATATAAAGAAATTTTAGGGGTTGTTTAAAAGGGTAAGGGTATGAGACTAACTCCAGAACTATGATTAAACTGAAGGAAAGCATTTTCAAAACATTGAAGTTATAGACATTAATATTTTATGTATAGTTCTGTCTGAACATGATTACGCATACACAAAAGTCATAGATACGCAAAGACATTGCTTTTGATATCATTGGTAAGTATCTGTATGCTTAAATAATGCTAAAGTTTCCCTTGAGTGGAGAAAATTTTACATGACAACATCATAGTATGACTATGATTAACAAATTCAAAATTTAACTTATTGAAATTAATTAGAATTTTTATTTAAAATGATCAATATGCTGATAATTGTATTTCCTAATTAGTAAATATGATAAATTCAGTTTTAAAATATTTTAATTAATAATAATTTGTAACCTTAACATATAATAAATTGTTAATAGAATATTATTTTAAATTCAAATTTAAATTTCCTTGATCTCTTATTTTTCAAGTATATAACTATAATGAAATATGAGGTACAACTTCTTGCATCATTAAAAATGTAATAATTAGTTTTTGATCAGCTGATTGTATGTAATAACTAATAAACCATCTTTAAAATGATATCTTGCATGCAATATTGATTTTAAATTACTAATACTATATCAATATCATATAAAAATAAAATATTACCTGAAAATTTAGTTTTAAAGAATTTATTCTGATCTCAGAAAATAATTAAGCTATATTTAATGTATTTATTTATTTTAATAAAGATAAAACTTTATGAAAACATGATTTAAAAAAAAGTCTTCAAATTAAGATTTATAAAATCTTTCATTCTAAAATATGGCAGTTTATTATTAAATATCAATTATTTTTATAACATAAATTTTTGATTATCATGTATTAATTATAAAAATGATAGTGTCTAGTAAATAAAATTTATATCAATCAAAACTTTTTAGAAAAGAGAATATTTTTTATTCTTACATCAAGAATATAGTTTAAAATTCTGTTTTAATAATCAGTGTAGTATAAATGAAATA